AATTGATTGTTTTTAAAAAAAGGTAAAGTACACAAAACAAGTTAAACAAAAGAAAGGGTAATTTGGTAAAAAAATAGAAAAATACAAAAGAAATTGTTCTAATAGTGAGAAGTACCTATATGAGATATTACTTTTCAAAAAGTGCATATAATAGTAATCAACCCCCTATCAAAAGCTGCCTACATCGATTTTAAATGTTTTAGAAATTCTAAAATATCGTGTTGAATTCATTTATCTTAGTTAAGAAATTTATGATCAAGATCGGATCGTTTTTAATGTTAAAATTTCTATAAAGAATATAAAATTACCATTTTAAGCTTGCAATCAAATCCAATTCGGAGGAAATTGCATTGATTAACACAATTACAGAACCGGGAAAAAAATCATAGAGCCAGCGAAATATGGGCTTCTTATGGCCCATTAACTAATTGGGCCTTACAGAGATTTCCAGTCACTACTATAAACCCTTAAACCTCCTCTTCCTCTCAGTAAAACCCTCATTTCTCGATCATCTCTGTAGCCCCAATTCTTCCACAAACCCTAGAAATCTCCAGAAAATGGCTTTACGCACCGTGATTCGTCGTGCTTCGTCTACAGTGGCCGCTCTTTCCTTCCGTGCGGCTAGATCTCCGGTTAGCTTCCGTACCGGCGCCCAGAGATTGATTCTCGGTAACCAGCTCAGCCGTGGATCGGTTATTTCCTTCTCCAGATTCTCGACGGAAGGTGCCGTCTCTAAAACAACCGCCGATGAGAATCTCGTTAGCGTTCTCGAATCTGAAATCGAATGTGCCGTGAACGAAGAGGCTCCTGATAATAACGTCGTAAGTTCTTTTTTTCTATTTTAGTAACCAGATCCTCTCTGTGATTAGACGTTTGTGTTGAATCATTTCATGATTTTGCTATATTGTTCATGAGATTTGTACATTTTTAGTGATTCTCTCTGTGATTAGACATTTGTGTTGAACAATTTCATGATTATTGCTAGATTGTTTTTTTCTGGTGATTTTCATGAGAATTTGCACATTTTTGAAACAATTGTATGTGATTTTGAGCAACAATGTTTGAATTCTCATTAAGTAAAGAATGTTTTTGAGAACAGTTGGAAGATAAGCCAGAAGGGTTTCCTTTTGAGATCATTGATACTCCAGGGGAGAGAACTGTGTTGCTGCAAAGGACGTTTGAGGATGAAAACATCCAAGTGGAAGTTGACACTGCTGCATCTTT